TGCAGGAAGTCAGAGACTAGAGAATTTAAAGCAACTACTCTAGCCTAAGGTCACCTCTCTTCACAAACTCCAAGACAACCAACATCTAACTTGCTGTCGGAAGGCATTTCCATAACAAGACAGTACTAGAGGGGTCTGATCTGCTTAATGTGGGAGGAGCCCTCATGGCTGGTACTTCAAAAGTGATACACAATAGAGGATAACCACCTGCCTTTCAGTATCATTGCATATTTAATGGGTGCCATTGTGACTGGGATATCCACTCTAGTTTTAGGGCAAGTGTGCATGACTCAAAAGAGGGGTGGAAAAAAAAGTTTGGGCTTGCAGAATTGCTTTGGGCCACCACCAAATGTCTATGTTTCTCTAGCGCCTGCTCTCTTTCCTCACGTATCGGGTCATTGCTATGGTAAGGACAGATTTTCCTGACTACCTTCTCCCAGTGGGAGAATTTACTTGCTGTGGATTTTCCCTCTCTGAGCTATACAATTCACATTGGTAAGGTTAGGGGATATTACAGAGCCTGGCACAGACACATGGGGTCAATGCATAACAGTCCAATGCTGTTTGGAGGAAGAAAAACTGCATGAACACCGAGTTGGGAAGAAAGAAAACCAGCTACATGCATTAAAACACGCAGAGCATTGTGATGAGAGCCTCATGTTTCCTAGAAATAACTGCAATTCATTGTGCACAGGCTCTAAATATGAAGGGATGCCTTAACTGAAGCCTGGAAAGGAAGGCAGAAGCCAGGTGAACAGATTTGTCCTGGAGTCCTAAGCACTTCTAGGTGATCTTCACAGGATCTCATACTCTCAAGACATAGCAGAGTGCAGCTGTACATACCAACATTAAAAGCCTTAATCTAATAGAAATTTATGTGAAGAAAAAGATTTCCTGTTTTTTTTTGCCACAAACTCATGTAGCAGAAAATGAGTTAATGAATATGAGGCTACTATTGCTCCCACTGAAATCAGTGCAGGATTTCCACCAGATTGGACACAAAGAACACTTTTTTTTTTTAAGTCTGTAATAAAACTAGTCTGGAGTCTTGTGTGGTCAGGATACACCCACGTACTGTGCCAGCAATAAGTGTAGCTCTCATTTGCACCAGAAAAAGCTCACTGAGTCAAACCCAGTCTCATGTGACTGACTGACATGTATCAGATGAAAACAATTTACGAGGTCTCAGTACGACGACAGTCCCAAGACTCTGATATGAGCCAGAAGTGGTACTTAACAAATAAGCTTTTCCTCTGCACAGAGCTGCATTTGTCCCTGTGAAGAGATGGGGCTTGGTCCTGCCCCAATTTCAGGTGATACAATGGATTTTCTAGTAACAGACCTCAGTGGTCCAATAACTCTAATCTCCTGCACATGAACAGAATTAATTGATCTTTTCTGCTGGGAGAAAGCTGTACTCCTTGAACCAAGCTCTGCTTTCAGTCACAATGCATGGAGCCATGCTGGATTTACACTGGTGCACTGGAGTGCAGACTGCAGGGCTCCTCCTGTCCCCCAGGAATTGTTAGTGAGCTGTAGCTATGCTTGGTTCCTTATTGTCTCTGTTAATAGCACTGCTAATGATTTGTGTTTGCCTCTATTTTTGTATCTCTCTTAACATACTTGTAGGATACTTAAGACTGTTTTGGAAAGGACCCAAGCTTGGGAGTGGGGTTTATTTAAAATAGATGAACCCCTGGTTACTGGAGGTATGTCACTGGTATTCAGCTCGCAGATTTTTTTCCCCTTTCCAAAGTCAGAGGCAAACTGTGGTGTGCCCAGTCCTCAGAGCACTGTAACAGAGAAGCACCATCCCTTCCTTTTGCAGGATTTCTAATTCTCCATTGACTGCATAAAACCAACTCAAATACTAGTACGAGCAGGGAAAGAAGAAAACAACTGTAGGGTAAACTCATACAACCAACTGATCTAAAGTTCCCTTTGACCTGCCAGCACTTCTTTTACACTTTAGTGTATAACTCAAAGTGTTCATACTTGCAAAATCTTTGAAATACAGCTTGGTTATGCACTGTGGAAACCCAACAAAGGGCAAGACTCCCTCTCTACAATCTCATATCACAGCTCCTTGAAAGTCAGCTAGTGACCATAACAAATACCTTCTGCTCTCAGCTGGGAGATGAGCCTCCTCTGACTGCCTGGCTTGGTGGCCATGAGCCACACGTTGCAGGCCTGACTCGTATGGAACTCCAGCATCTACTTCCCACAGCAACATCCACAGGCAGTGTAACCAACCACAAAGGCTTCACAGTAAGACCACCAGCATCTGTCAATCAGAAAGGTCCATCTTGAGTCTTGGCAGCATTGAGACAAGACTGTTTGACAAACAGGTACTCTGTTCAGGTTTGCTTCTCCTGCGAGTACTCTTTGCAAGACTGGAGGAAGTCAGAGGCCAGACTCCTCCAGGTTTAAGAGCTACAAGGGTGTAGAAGGCCCATCCACCTGCAGGAGGTCCTGCAGTCTTGTTGCTGGTGGCCAACACCAGCTACTCTTTCCCCAGACATCCAGGAGATTAAGGGATCTCATCTTCTCCAGTGCCTGTCCTTGAGGCACAGCAGTAACTGTTGTGTTCAGTTTTACAGCACTTGGGTTCTGCAGCACTTCTCCAGAGAAAAGTCTGGAACAGGATGTGCTCCCAGTCTTGTGTGTCAATACATGCTGTGCTGGTGTGCCATGGCAGTTCTATGTTCTGAAACAGCGCTTTGGGTTCAGATTGATTTTGCTTATAGATTTTTTGGGTTTGTCTTTTTTTAAAGCATTTTTTGGTCTCAACTGCAGACAAATAATGTTATGTGTATCAGTTCTGTGAGCTGTTTTCATGCTGAGAAGTGAAATGAAAATTTTAAAGATCAAATCTGAAGAAATATGGATGTTCTTAATACTCATACGTATTACTGCTTTTTTATAAATGATAACATTATTTTTATTTAAAAAAAAATCAGCCCTGGGCCACATTTTTTACCTAGGTCCCAGCACACCTTTTCATTAATGACTGTCTTTCCCCATTTGAGCTCTCCAGCACACAGACCCTTGTCTCCTCAGGGACAGTGAAGCATGCAGCACACGAGATGGTTTGCATGTCTGTCTTGCACCACTTGGGGAGTGTGGAACAATCTCAGCAGAGTAACGTTGCCACCAATTCCCTTGTTTAAGAAAAGCTTGGAAATGTCACAACTTGTTACATGATGGCATCCTTAATATACTCCGAGGCAGTCATAACTTTTGCCTTAGGCGCCTGAGAACTTCCATGGACACCGGCAGCGCAGAATTAATGATGCGGTTCAGTCTAGAAGCGGTTGCACTTTAATAGTAGGTAGAGGAAGACTCACAAATTGCCAGCTAATCTTAAAGAAGCAAATGTGAATTAACTCTCATTTGTCAAACACCTTGAGATATTCCAAGGAAATGTTCCATAAAAGCACAAACTGTTATTAAGCATTTCTGACAAAATATTGTTTTAATTAATCTTAGTCTTTGATCTTCTATTTGGGCTACTCTCACAATGGCCTTTTGCTTGCTTTTACAGTAGGTAATGTGGGCTCACCCACACATGATTTCCAGAACCTATGGAGAATGATATCACTGCAAATTACTGGATAGTGTTCCAACTGTGGATTTTGTTTTGTACAGGCTCTAATTAGCCCATATTCATACCATAAAGATTTCTCATCTGACTGTGGTTTGATCCAACAGCACAGAAGGTTAGACTTCCTAACAGTTACATCAGATCTCACCAAGAGAAAGTTGCAGCCCTCCAATAGCTTTGTGCCTAGGGGATATAATAGGGTGTCATGAATTATTTTGACAGAAATAAATATCACCATTAAAAAAAGGAAGAAGAAAAAAAAAATAAAGCCAGGTTGGCTAACATGCTCTGGGAATATGTCTAAACTGTGTGGTTAACCAAAAAAGTCAGAGGATTTTTTTGGATAAAAGGCACTCCAAAAATAAGCAAAGAAAACCTTTTAAAAATAAGAGATTTTTACATGGGGTGTCTATGTTTTTATGTTTCAGAACGCAGTGAACAGAAAAATAAATAAAGTGTAATCTGGAAAGAGGATTCTGGATCTCTGTCATCTAGTTTACATAGCTTTTTGTTTGTACTAATTTGTATTGGAATCTATTAAACTGTTGAATCATGTATTTGTCAGGTAGCATCCCAGTGGCATATATGAATTAGTTTGAGATTTCCTTTGGAATCTAAATTCCTAGCAGAAATCCCTCGGCAAAACCACAGCTTCAAAATGCGCAATAAGACACAGACTACCCTCTCTCTCATGCAAAGACCCTGTATACGTGTCATACTTAGATTTTATATCAAGATTAACGTCCTTAATATTTTTCCTTTTTTCTCTCCTGAACCGTATCTGCAATGACCCAGTCTCGTTATCTTTTTTAGCTACAGACATGCTCAAGTTCTGTGACCATTTCAGCCCGTGAACTGAACAGTAATTACCAGCCCTCCAAAGACATGCTTCCCCTCGTGGTGCCGAGGAATTAAGATAGATTTTTCACACTGTCCCAAGATGCGATTAACTCTCCAGGGATATATTTTTCTTTGCCTTCCAGATCTTGTGGTTCTCCTCCCTTTTCCTCTTACCACAGGGATTTTCAAACAATAACCGTGCGGGTTTAATTTGCACCTTTTCTCACACCTTCTATTTTTAAAAAGCCCACGAGGCGTTACTTTACACCGCTCCTGCGCTCCCTCGGGCGGAGTTGTCTCTTTCCCTTCCCAGAGGGCGAACGGGACAGCTCCCTGCCCTCTCCCCTCACTGCCCAGGCAGGACGGCGAGATCCGCAGCCTGGCGAGGGGCGCGCAGCACCAATCTCCCATTCCTCGGGGAGCGGTTCGGGAAGCAGCGCGGATCGCGCCGCTCCCGGGATCCATCCCAGCGAGGGGCGGGAGGAGGGAGGGGAGGGGTCCGAGCGGGGGGCGCGCAGGCGGGGCCGCGCGGCGGCGGCGGGAGCGTGCTGGGCGGCGGGAGCTGTGATCCCGCCGGGATCCGCCGCGCCGGCCATGGATCCCTCGCCCAAGGACGGCGAGAGCGCGGCGGCCGTGGAGCCCAGCCGGGGCGCGGCCCCTTCCAGCGGGGTGGTGGTGCAGGTCCGGGAGAAGAAGGGCCCCCTGCGCGCCGCCATCCCCTACATGCCGTTCCCCGTGGCTGTCATCTGCCTCTTCCTCAACACCTTCGTGCCGGGGCTGGGTAAGGAGCGCGGCGGGAGGAACGGAGGGCGGGCGGCCAGGACGAGGGGGTCCCTCTCCCCACCTGCCACTGCTCCGCCCGGTGCCGGACCCCGCCGCGCCGGCAACTTTCCCCGACGGCGCCGCGGGAAGGGATGGACGGACGGATGGAGGCAGGCAGGCAGCGAGCCCCCTGCGCCCCGGCGGAAAGTTTTGCGCCGGGGGCCGGGGCAGCGCCCTGCGGGGTCCTGGGGGAGCCGCGGCCGCGAGGGTCGCGCTTCCCCCGGACGCCAGTCGGGGATCGGGGCTGGGGCACCTGCCCGATCCCGCTCCGTTCTCGGCCGCGGGGCAGCGCTCCGTGACTCTGGGAGGCAAGGGAAGTGAATTCACAGGTCCCGGGGGCTGAGCGTCCCCCGCGCCGCTCCGTTCTCCCCAGGCGAGTAATCGTGCGCTTTAGGAGAAGGGCTTCGGCTGTTCGGGCTCTCGCGAACTGTGATTTTAGTCAGAGGACCGAGGCTCACAGTGGCCGCATCGCTCGCCAGCTAAGGCGAGCTTTCAGAGCCCGCCTTCCTGGGTTTCCTAAGGAGACCCCTGAAAAATGTTGGAACTGTTTCCCGAGAGAAACAGTGGATTCACGGTTTCTCAATACTAGATCACTGGTGAGCGGCTCAGGTAATGCATCCCTAAGCTGTGGCTACAGTATTCTCTATACTTCCCTTTCCTCCTTTTTAATTAGGAACTGCTTGCTGCAACAGGAGCCTAGAGTTTGAACACTACAAAGGCAGTTGGAACACAAGGCTAAATACAAGTATTCTAGCTGCAACCAAAGCAATCACATTTACAAAACTCCAGACAAAATAAAGCCCTCATTAATCTGTACCGTGAGTCTCTCACAGTCTATTCTTGGCTATTATTTCTGCTCCTGTGGCCACTGCAGAAGCCTTCCTTGTGATAAGGGAGTATTCCCCACCTAGACCTGCTTTTGAAGAGCTACAGCCCTGCCTTGATTTGCTTCATGTGTATCAGGTGGCTTAATTCTTTAACACATATGAAATTCTAAAAGTTCTTCTTAAGTAATTCTAAAGTATTACCTAAATGTGAGTGGTACACTATCTGCAACATGTATAAGCCATTACTATTCCAGTGTGCTTGCTCTGAACCTGTGGATGTATTCCAGGGGAAAGCTTGTAGCTTTTGAAATACCTCCAGAGTTTTGCTGTGGAAGGACTGGCTTTGCTATATGTGCTTCCAGATGCAATTCATTGTGCTCAGGTGTGTTGCTTGCACATCCCCTGTGTGCAAAGAGACCTGAAGAACCTGGAGGCATGAATCAAAGAGAAACTCTCCAGTTGAGTGCTTTCATGGGGTTTTAGGTTGTTGTTATTTAGCACTTACTTTCCCACCGTCTTCAGAGAGAGATGTTCAAAGCCAGAGTTTTCAAAGTGAATGTACTTTTCTGTTGGCATTGAAGGCACTACATTTTCACTGTAGACATACAGAAAAAACCCTGACTTACCATGCCCTTTTCTTCCTTTGAATGATCTTACACTTCATACTGCGTTGCTTTTCGCAGCTCAGTAGAAAAACCCTCGGTGTTCTTCCTTCAGCCCAGTAGGGTAGGTGCTCATGAGACATCCTCATGGCAGAATTGGCTCGAAGTGTGGTTATCTGCCCAGAGTTCTGCTCTGGCTGCTGCTGCAGGTCTGCTGGAAGTAACAGTGTTGTGCCTTCCCTCACATGAAAGGAGTCTAAACAAGGACAGCGGATAGCACAGCACGTCCTTGCTACAGGTGAGCATGTAGAATCCCAGTCCGTGCTGGCTTGAAGAATTCAGAGTTGAATCTGGACTTTGCAGCCATGTGGTTGTGTTATCACTGACTGGCTGGACCACCCTAAAATGATTTTAATTCCATTTTGGGTACTTTTAGCAGGTGGAGATTTTTATTGAACTCGGTCTGTGTTTGGTACACTGATTTCAGTAGAGTTTCTGGCTGTCTATACCACTGTTTCTGCTTATACCCCGTTGAAAAAGTAGCAGAACAAAGAAACTACAAATCAAAAGAAATTCTTCTGTGTGGCATTCCCACAGGCTGGCGAAATGCAGTTTTGGAGATGCATCCCAAGCTCTGTATGCAAATCATGGCACTTAGTTCATGCATAAATGAACCATTCTCTTGAAGAAGCTGCTAATAGCGTATGCATTTTGATAGAAAATTTACTCTGAGATAATACACCTGCCTAGAACGAAGCTGTTTACAATCTCAGCCATATCCTGTCGTATATCATGTAGCCCACACACAAGGGGAAACAGGAGGAACACAAATCTACTGGCAGGAATATTCAAGGTAAAAAGAGATCTTGTGTCATTGTTGCATTTCAGCAATCTCAATGAACTGGGCAACATTTTAAAAATAAATAAGATTTGCAGTGGTATGAATTATTCACATCAAGGTAGTGAGCCTGTTCTCTGTGAGGTAAATGACAAAATTCCCATCAATTCCAGATTTATAACATGTTAAAATGATGTTTCACTGGCTTGCTGTATATTCTGCATGCTGAGGTGCAGACTGTGACTGTGGTAATGGAAAGTTCTCTATTTTTCAGTCCCTGAATTCATCCCTTACAATTTTGCATGTAGTTGTCATTCATGTGTGGACTCTGCAGCGCAATTGCAATGAAGGGTCAGAAACCACTGAAATAGGCAAGAATGTGGTCAATACTGAATAAACCAAGTTTTCCACTGCTTGGAGATGGGTGCATTTGAGGTTTTCATTAACGCCCAGTACCTCAGACCAGTGATATCCAAATAGAAATTGTGCTCTGATTCAGGCTACTGAATCCTCATGCTCTCTTCTCAGCATCTGAAAGTCTCTACTTTTTTTAGTTAATTTATCTTTCCTATGTTATGGAAGTCATCTATGAGGGTGAAATGTGAGAATGTTTTAAATATCTGGTTTATTTTTCCTTTATGCTATTTATGTTTTGCAGTAGTACTCCATTTGGACAGGAAACATAACACTTTCTCTTTGTTTATAGTAATGTTATTTTTTTCAGTTGGTTTATCTTCAGAGTTTTATGTAATAACCCAGAACTACAGGTTTTGAAATGCATTGTAAACTGGGTTTGAACTACTCTTTTCATGTAGACTCATAGGAATTTGTTCATACCTAGAGGATATGTTAACTTTTGCCTTGCCAAAACTTAAAATTCAGACCAAATACAATGTAAAAAAGCTTGATTAGCCCACCTACTTGTAATCTGTTTTGATGGAACAGCCTTGAAATTACACTGTGCTTCCAATCACTGTGATAGAAGCAAGCCCTTGGAGATGTTCTAGATCAGTTTTCCATGGTCCAATGCAGTTTTTCTCATCTGTGTCTTATAGGGTTGCAGGGCTGAGCTATAATTATAATGAAGGTGTCCCTAGCTCATGTTCATGAAAAGAGCAGATAGTACCAAAAGAAGAAGAGGCAGGACTCAGCGAGTCCTGTGGCAAAAGCCATCGTGCCTTGGCTACCAGCGTTCCAGCTCTGCCAGAGGCACCCTGAGCCACAGACACTGCAACCCGCTTTGGCTTTGGACTTCTGGGCTCTGTAGCATCAGGGCCAAATCATGCCATGATGAACCCTGGAGAATGGAAGATGATGATCTCAGGAGAGGTAAATGGTGGTGTATCTGGTTCCCGCAGGACTGAGCAGTGTGCACCTCCAGCCGGTAAGTGCTGCAGATGGCAGCGGAGAGAAGGGGCTGGCCATGCCCTTCAGCTGGCAGACTGTGTTCTCTTGGAGCTGCCGTGTGCCAGTCAGCGTGGGAGAAGATCTGGCTCCCTGTCTTTCCCTGAGCTGATACATGGGAATCTTGCCCTCCTTCCTATCTGTTTTTCTTTCTCTCGACATCACGTTGTGTGGGAGGGGGTAAACGAAAGGGGAGAACTTGAGGGAAATGTGAGAAGGGAGTGAAATTATCTGAAAGTATGAGGTATTCTCCAAGATTAATCCCTCCTGTCAGGAAGGGGGTGGACTTTTGGATCACAGCCTGAATTATACATGTGTACTATTTTTATGCAGGGAGTAATGGAAATACGTGGCGTGAAATTATGTTAGTGCAAGATAGGAGAGCAGCCACCCATGTGCCATGAAATAGCCGGTGGAGGAGATCATGAGTGACAGCCTCTCACAGCAGCTAGAGAAAGAAGGGGTGATTCCCAGCCCACTGAACTTTTTTCTTCCACAGTTCCATAGTGCAGCTCTCCCTGTCCTTGAGTATGTCAGCTCCCTGTCACGAGTCTTCTGCCATCTGTTTATTCTGCTTCAGTCTTGACAGAGTTCAAGGACTCTACCTTCAGCTATGTGAATATGGCTTTAATGTTTGATTTATGGAAACCAAGCATCTTCTCATTAGACACCATGCCTCTCTCGAGCAGAATGAGCTCTCCAAAGAGCTGAACAGAAGTGCAGAACACAACACTTGAGAAAGTTGCAGGGATAAGGTCTGCATAAAATTATCAATACCCATTTTATTTTTGTGGTTGGAATGGTAAATAGATGCCTCAAGCAAACATCCATTGCCTTCATTACTGAAACAAAAATTTAAGGGAAAAAACCAGATTTTCTTATCTACAGTAGGAAAACACTGCAAAAAAAAAAAAAATGGGGCTTTCAAACATCTGTGCATTAAAATATCAAACTTGCTTTGGTATTTATGATACTTTTTAATTATTTTTTTTCTTATATGCATGCAAAACAATGAATCTGTGTGATTTACAAGCTCATTTGAGGAAAACAATGGTTTTTCTCAAGTGTTTATATGAATTTGTGTTTGTGAACTTTACTGCTGCAGTTCTTTAGCTAACATTGCCTTTCAGCCTGTGATGTATAGACTGCTGGTAGTCTGCAGAAACAAGCTATTTATTCATGGGAACATAATTAAACAAAGCAAACCTATTTGCCAGTAGACTTCACTCTGCTGGGTTTTGTATTTTCCACTGAAAAGGTCAAGAAGTTCTTTATGGTAATTTGTTCA